TAAGGATTATCTGAAGATGGTGTCTTCAGGTAAAGTGGAAGAGAGATGATAGAGGATAGAAAGAGAGAGATAAACATAGAGGATGGATGGATGGATGGATGGATGGATGGATGGATGGATGGATGGATGGATGGATGGATAGATAGTTAATTGGATGGATAAATAGGATAGATAGATAGATAGATAGATAGATAGATAGATAGATAGATAGATAGATAGATAGATAGATATAAAAGGATTGAGAGACAGATAGAAGGATTGAGAAAAAAGGATAGATAGATACATAGATGGATAGATGGATAGATGGATGGATGGATGGATGGATGGATGGATGGATGGATGGATGGATGGTAGGTAGGTAGGTAGGCAGGCAGGCAGGCAGGCAGACAGACAGACAGACAGACAGACAGACATGGATGGATGGATGGATGGATGGATGGATGGATGGATGGATGGATGGATAGGGAGAGAGGGAGAGAGAAGGAGACAGAGAAGGAAAGAGATAGATACTTAGAGAGACAGAGACAGACAGGGATGGATGGATAGATGGATGGATGGATGGATGGATGGATGGATGGATGGATGGATGGATGGATAGATAGATAGATAGATAGATAATATAGATAGAAGAAGAAGAAGAAGAAGAAGAAGAAGAAGAAGAAGAAGAAGAAGAAGAAGAAGAAGAAGAAGAAGAAGAAGGAGATATTAGTGTTATGATCACAATTAACTTTGACCACAACTGAGGCCAATGACCACTAAAGAAATAGTTGTATGTCAAGGACTTCATATCTATCTATGTAATCCTTGACTTAAAGCAGTTTGTTTAGTGTCCATTGTGGTCATAACTTGAGGACTAACCGTAACCGTGCCAATTTGCCCATGTTTAGCTTGTGCATCCAGATGACCTCTCACTTTTCTCCCTCTGTCCCCGAGGCCTGAAGAGGCGCCTCGATCCGTTGCCAGCCCCTCTGTCTGCATCCGATGCCCTGGATCTCATGACGCAGCGCATGAATGAGCATAATTATTCCCATCATGTGACTCCTTGCAATGCGCCGCAGCCTTGTTTCTGGTTATTATTTCGTCTTTTTTGTGCAATTTGTTTGTGTCTCTTCTGTCTTGTGTTCTCTCTCTCTCCCTCCTCTCATTCTGGCCTGTTTTGCAGCAGATTTTTTAAAAAAAGATTTCAAAGTTTACAAACTTTAAAAATCTCCCCACCTCTTTTAATAATTTCAAGGGATCCAGTCGTTTCCCACCCCCCCAAAAAAAATTATAGATAGTCCTCAACATACGACCGGTATGGACTCCAAAATTTTTGTTGCTGAGCGAGACGGTTGCTAAATTAATTTTGCCTCCCTTTATGACTTCTCTTGCCCCCATTGTTAAGTGAATCCCTGCAGTCGTGCAATTAGTCACCTGGTCGTTAAGTGAATCTGGGCTTCCCCATGGACTTTCCTTCTCGGAAGGTCGCAAAAGGGGATCATGTAACCCCAGGACACTGTGACCGTCATACATTTGAGTCATTTGCCAAGCATTTGAATTTTGATCATGTCGTGATGCTCCAATGGTTGTAAGTGTGAAAAACAGCCCTTTTTTTCCAGTGGCATTGTAACTTCAAATAGTCACTAAACTAATGGTTGGAAGTTGAGAACAACCTGAAACATGCCTCAGGTCTGCAGCAGGCTGGTCTAGATGTCCTCTAGGGCCCCAGCAGTACCTCCTTCTTTCTCCTTTGGGACCTCGAGCCCAGCCTTATGGAAATAAAATCTTTAGGGCAGATGTCCCCAAACTTGGCCACTTTAAGACTTATGGACTTCAACTCCCAGAATTCCTCAGCCTCTTTAAGACTTGTGGACTTCAACTCCCAGAATTCCTCAGCCTGTTTAAGACTTGTGGACTTCAACTCCCAGAATTCCTCAGCCACTTTAAGACTTGTGGACTTCAACTCCCAGAATTCCTCAGCCTCTTTAAGACTTGTAAACTTCAACTCCCAGAATTCCTCGGCCACTTTAAGACTTATGGACTTCTACTCCCAGAATTCCTCAGCCACTTTAAGACTTNCCCATTGGTCTCCGGACACGCTTCAAGGTGCTAGTCGTTACTTATAAAGCCCTTCATGGCATCAGACCTGGATACCTGAGAGACCGCCTCCTGCCGATCACCTCCCAAAGACCGATCAGATCTCACAGGTTAGGTCTCCTCTGGATTCCATCCGCCAGCCAATGTCGGCTGGCGACTCCCCGGGGGAGACCCTTCTCTGTTGCTGCTCCGGCCCTCTAGAACGATCTCCCCGTCGAGATCCGGACCCACACGACCCTCCCGGCCTTCCGTAAAGCTATTAAGTCCTGGCTTAATAGCTTTAATTATGAGTCCTGCGGCCCACTTTAATTATGAATGTTGTTGTAATTTTAAATTGTTGTATTGTCTTTTATATCCCCCCTCCCTTTTTTATTGTAAGCCGCCCGGAGTCCTTCGGGAGTGGGCGGCATACAAAACTAATAAATACAAATATACAAAAGAGGATCACGTGACACCCCCAGCCCCGGGACACTGTGACCGTCATAAATACGAGTCAGTTGCCAAATTGTCTGAATTGTGATCATGTAGCCATAGAATATAATATAGAATATAGTGGAATAGAGTAAAGAATAGGGATAGGGGTATGAATAGGGTAGGATAGGATAGGACAGGGTAGGATAGGGTAGAGTGGAGTGGAGTGGAGTGGAATGAAATAGAATAGAATAGAATAGAATAGAATAGAATAGAATAGAATAGAATAGAACAATAATAAAAAAATGATGCTAACAGGAGATCCTGGCTGGAAACCCTAAACTGCCAAATTCAATTTTGGATATTAAGGCTAAAAAAATAAAATAAAAAAAGCAACAGAAAAGATTAAATGGATCCTTCTTGACCTCACTTTGCAGAGAGAGAGAGAGAGGCGGGAGGGTGGGGAGGGGAGGAAAAGAAAGACAGAAGGGTCAGCTTTTGTTCTATGGATTTCTTTGGAGAGAGAACTTTGCAAAGATCTCCCTGGAACACGAGGGGAAAAGATTTTAAAAGCTGGTCGGCGGCAGAGTTAGAAAGCCAAATGGACCTCTGTTCTCAAAAGCTGATCTATTCAGTCTTCAATCTCTATTTATTGACTTACCCGGAACGCAGAGAGGGGGAAAAAAAAATCAATGATGATCACGGACAAAAAATTCATTTGTTCCTGATTTCCTCTCCAAGCAGGAGAAAATGTCCCCTGGATATTTTTCTATTGGAGCACCGATTATCAAAGGAAGGAAAACAGCAACTGATTTGCAACCATTAGCTGTAAATTCTATTCTATATATTGTATATTCTGTTCTTTTTTTAGTTTTACTTTATTCTACTTCATTATTCCATCTTACTTTATCGTTATTACAGGTGGTCCTTCACTTACGACCACAGTTGAGCCCGAAATTTCTGCTGCTAAGTGAAATATTTATTGTAAGTGAATTGTGCTCCAGTTTATGACCTTCCATGCTGCAGGTTGTTAAGTTGGTGACCCACTGGATCTAAGTGAATCTGGCGTCCCCATTGATTCTGCTCATCAGATGGCCATAAAAGCGGATCACAATTGCCCTCAAAACTGAGGGAGTTGCAAAACATTAGGATTTTGGTCAAGTGACCATGGGGGATGCCGCAACTGTGATAAGTGTGAAAATAAGCCAATTTTTTCAGCTGCCCTTGTAATCTTGAACAATCAGTGGATTCTGGTAAGTCAAAGGCCGCCTGTAGCTTTTCTGGTTCTTTATATTTTTGCAAGGGGGAAAAAAAAACATGGAGGAAAAAAAACACCATCTTTAGGAACAGAAATCCTTCTTTCTTGCCCTGGAGGTTCTGCTTAACCTAGGTTTAAGGGTGTTGTGTGAATGCAGCTTCCAAGCATCCGAACCAGAGGCGGTGATGCAAATGTTGCACCCCCCAGCCTAGCAAATAATTAAATAACCAGAGGAATTTTCTTTTCTGAAAATTCAGGATCATCTGTTGAAACATAGTCATTAAGCGAATCACATGGTTGTTGATGAGACTTTGCTGTTTTTCTTTATAAAAAGGAAAAAAAAAATTATCCTGGATAAAAGTCAATTCTAGCAGCTGCATTTATTCCTGTTGTCTCTGGAAAAACTCCACCTGTTTTCTGCAATTTTGGTGGAGGGGAAAAGCGGTGAGAAGCGTAGAAAAAAAAAATGAAGGTGCTAAACTCTGCGTCCGTGTGTAAGATGTTGCAGCCTGCGTCAAACAAGATTTTTGCACTGCGACATTTGTGACCCCCGTGGAAATTTCTCTACTGCCGTCCCTGGCTGCACCGGTTGGATAGCTGCCACGCTGGGAAATGCATATTGTCAGACAAAAGACGCTTAAATTTTTTTGGGGAAGGCTGTTGTAGCAACAAAAGAGAGGGGTTTCTTTATTCATACAGGTGGTCCTCAAATTAGGAGCATCGTTGGGTTAGGGTTCGTGATGGGTGAGGTTGTAAAGTAAGACATCACGTGACATGATCTGATTTTTTTTAAAAAAACAGCTGTTATGTGAATGCTGGTGAATGTTAAGTGGATTACACGGTTGTTAAGCGAATCACATGGCTGTTAAGTGAATCACATGGTCATTAAGCAAATCACATGGCTGTTAAGCAAATCACATGGTCATTAAATGAATTCTATGGTTGTTAAGCAAATCGCATAGTTGTTAAGTGAATCACATGGCTGTTAAGCGAAACACAGTCATTAAGCGAATCACATGGTTGTTAAGCAAATTGCATGGTTGTTAAGTGAATCACATGGCTGTTAAGNATCGGTTTCTGTGCTGTAACCGGGTCTGAAGCCTGACTGGAAGGGGTCTATCTATCTATCTATCTATCTATCAATCATCTATCTATCTAATCTATCTATCATCTATCTATCAATCAATCATCTATCTTATCTATCTATCTATCTATCTATCTATCTATCTATCTATCTATCTATCTATCTATCTATCTATCTATCTATCTATCTATCTCTATGGGTATCTACCGGTATCTATCTAATTATCTCTATCTTCTCATAATTTGATACAGCATGTTGATTCTTCCTGTCGTTCTTCCATCTCTAGTCCAAAACTATTTTAGGCTGCCAAATACCAGCCGTGCTACAGACGCATCTTCTTCATTGAGCTGAAGTGAATCTCTGAGCAGGCTTCAGAGTAGGAACGTAGCAACAGTCTCTGGGAGATGTGCAAACGATGTGCAAAGTGTACGTAAGCAGCGAGGACATAGATCTTCACCAACCTTACTCTCAGCTTCGGGAGCCCAAGAGAGAGGAAACCTTTCCCGTTCTTTCTCGTCAATAGATGGAGACATCTCGTGAGGGTAGGGAACCATCCAAGGTTGGGTCAACCAACCCAAAATTTATTTTATTTTATTTTTAACCGAAATCCCTCTCTTTCATTTACTCCCAACTCCGGTGCTTTGCCTGAAAACTGAATCTAAAGATCTGACACTTTTGAAAAAAATTGTGAAAAAACACACAGAGATAATCCTTGACTTACAACAGTTTGTTTACTGGCCATTTGAAGTTACAGCAGCGTAGGGGGGGGGGGAATTGACTTACAACCGTTTTTCACACTTATGACCATTGTAGCATCCCCGTGATCGCTTAATCAAAATTCAGATGTTTGGCAACAGACTCATATGGAGTTATATGATCTCCTTTCCGACAAGCAAACCCAATGGAGAAGCCAGATTCACTTAACGACCGTGTAACAACCACCACAATAATTCAATTAACAACTGTGGCAAGGAAGATCGTCAAACGGGCCCAAACAGCTGCCTCGATTAGCCACAGAAATTTTGCTCCCTGAGGGTTTTTCTCTTTTTTTTGTAGGGACGTAACAGGAATACGCCTATACTAGATAAGACCCCAAACTTACAAAAATAATTGTGCACCCCCACACACTGGTTTTTCAGCCTTTCTCATCAGAGTCTCCGAAAGGCTTAAAAGTTGGAACCAAGTTCCCATCATTCTGACACAAGAACTCCCTGACCACACGTCAAAGTTGTCAGAATCCTAAACAAGACTTTCGTTAAGTGAGATGTGCCCTATTTTCTTGCCACAGATCTTAAGAGACCCCCTGCAGTTGTTAAATAAGTAAGCCAGTTTTTTTTTAAGTGAATCCGGCTTCCCCATTGACTTTCCTTGTCAGAAGGTCGCAAAAGTGTGAGAAGAGTGTTCGAAGACTCCAGTTAGTCCAGAACGCAGCCGCGTGAGCGATTGTGGGTGCGCCTAGGTACACCCACGTTACACCTATCCTCCGCGAGCTGCACTGGCTGCCCATTGGTCTCCGGACACGCTTCAAGGTGCTAGTCGTTACTTATAANGAAACACAGTCATTAAGCGAATCACATGGTTGTTAAGCAAATTGCATGGTTGTTAAGTGAATCACATGGCTGTTAAGCGAATCACATGGTCATTAAGCAAATCACATGGCTGTTAAGCAAATCCCATAGCCGTTAAGTGAATCACATGGCTGTTAAGCAAATCACATGGTCATTAAGCAAATCACATGGCTGTTAAGCAAATCACATGGCCATTAAGTGAATTGCATGGCTGTTAAGCGAATCACATGGTCATTAAATGAATTCCATGGTTGTTAAGCAAATCGCATTATTGTTAAGTGAATCACATGGCTGTTAAGCGAAACATAGTCATTAAGCGAATCACATGGTTGTTAAGCAAATTGCATGGTTGTTAAGTGAATCACATGGCTGTTAAGTAAATCCAACTTCCCCCAATGATTCTTTGCTGGTCAGAAGCTCATTAGGAAGGTCACATATGAGAGATGCTACAATCATATTGTAGATGTGAATCGGTTGCCAACAATGGTGGGTTGCTGCCAGCGTTACTGCTTCGCACACGCTTTTGCTCACTCCTGCACCCACTGTGCATTGCTTGCGCATGTGCAGTTGCCTGTAAATCCTTCTGCGCATGCTCAGAACATTGTAAAATGATTAAAAAACATGCCAGCAATGGCAAGGGGAAACGAGGGAACCAATTCAGGGGCGTGGCCAGCCTGCTGTCCCCTACCGGTTCGACGACCCAATTTCCACTAAATTGGTGGATTTGCCAAAACCGGTGTGAACCGGTAGCAACCCACCTCTGGTTGCCATGTGTCCAAATTGTGGCTCTCTGATTGTGCGACGTCATCATGGCGACGATGGGTCGTTAGTTACATTTCCCGAGGCCTTTGTAACTTTTAACACATTGTTATGCAAACGGTTGTCAGTCAAGGACTGCCTCTATAGTCACCCATCTCACATGAAAATGAATGGGGAGGCGTGTTCCTTCCTGAAACCCTTCAGGTAGTCCTCGACTTACAACCGTTCATTTGATGACAGCACAAAATTACAGAGGCACTGAAAAAAGGCACGTTTTTCACACTTACGACCGTTGCAGCATCCCCAGGGTCACGCGATCGAAATTCAGACACTTGGCAACTGACTCGTATTTATGATGGTCGCAGTGTCACCGGGGATCCCCTGATCCCCTTTTGTGAGCAAAATCCATGGGGGGAAGCCAGATTCACTTAACGACCATGTGACTCACTTAACAACTGCAGGGATTCACCTAACCGCCATGGCGAGAAAGGTCATAAAATGGGACAAAGCACACTTAATGAAAGTCTTCCTTAGCAATGGAAATTTTGGGCGGTCGTAAGTCGAGGACTGCCTGTACCTTCACGTGATCTGTAATGCTGGAGATGAAGGCGCCACTTGAACTCAGAAAAAAAATATTCATATATAATCAAGACTGTCTCACAATCATGTAAAACCCAGACATTCAGAACAGGGAACAAGGGGGAAAATTGAGTAAAAAGCAATAAAACAGTATAAAACTCTTGATTGCTGGTTTCCTCCATCAATTTCCCCTCCACTTCAGAAGAGGGAGAGAGGCTTCGCAAATGTCTCATCTCCTCAAATAATCTTTTCTAAGGAGAGAAAAACGACAGTCGAAGTTGAGGGGGGAAAAGCCCTTTACGACGAAGAAGACCCTACAAAACCTAAACGTATAAAACTTTTTAAAAACTGGAAAGGAAAGAATTGCATAAAATACGGTAGAAAACAGTTTAAAAACAGAAACGACAGACAGACAATAAATAGAAAGATAGACAGGCAGATTAGCAGGCAGACTGATGACAGGTAGGTAGGTAGGTAGGTAGGTAGGTAGGTAGGTAGGTAGGTAGGTAGGTAGATAGATAGATAGATGATAGATAGATAGATAGATAGATA